TATAAATCAGTAAAAAGAAAAATAAAAATAAGAATAGCTCGGAAGGAACGTGTCTTTCTAGCTTTATTTATTTATTGTTTTGATAACATTAATTTTAGTTAATTTAGTAAAAATGTTTTCAATCTAAAAGTATACAGATTTTTTAATATTTAAAGATTTAAAGATTTGACAAATATTTAAAGAATAGAATTAGGAACACTTGGATTTTCAATATATTTTTCATATTTAAAAACATAAAATAATAATAATAAAGGGAAAAAAAAAACAAATGTAGGATTAAGAAGCATTTAATATTACATACCTTTGCTTCCTGGCTTTAATTTTTTTTCTAATGCTCAAAGTTGAAAGTGGATGCAAAACTGCTGCCCGCTGGGTGTGGGTGACAATTAAACCCTGCGAAGAAACACAAAAACAGTAAATAAAATTTAAGATGAAGAAACTGAACATGAGAAAATAAATTAAAAACAAGAGAGGGAAGAGATGAGGAGCACACCTTTTGCCTTTAGGCTGAAACTGAGCACTGAAAAGGAAGGACACAGAAGCTTGGAACAGGGCAGAGGGTGATCTGAGATGAATGGGAAAACGAAAGGAAATTGCCTCTTAATTTGTTAGGCTGTTTTTTCCGAAATGGGCAGAGCATTTGACGCTTTTGCTTTCTGATGCTAGTGGCTCTAATTATTGATCCTGAAAAAGAGAAGATTGTGATTTCTGATTATTTTCCTCTTTCCTCGCATGTATTATCTTCATTTCCCACTAATGAAATGAAAATTGTCTTCCTTTGCAGGGCCCACCATAGTTTTATTTGGAGGACCCATTTGCAGGGGAAGTGTGAAGTTTAGTGGAAATTTGTGATGTTTTTATTGACTGACTTGAGCATTACACGCCAAGGATCTTTGGAGGCCCCCATAATTTGCAAGAAAGTAAATACACTAGTTTAAACTTTAGAGCATCTTTTGCTTTTCTAAAAGAAGGCGAAAAGGAAACGAAATATTTCTAAAAGAAAAACTGAGCCACCGTTGAATCCGACTAGCATCTTAGCATATTTTGCCTTTCAAGACAAACTTTTTGTATGGTGGATGAACACACCTTTTTCAATTTAAAAACGTATTATGACCGGACAACGCAACTAGGATCTTTGGATGGAGGCTGTTCCTTCATTTAATTGTTCTTGTTTTGCATTATGGATCAAAGACCAGTCTGTGTAGATAATAATAGAGCGTTAGAGCATGTACTAAAAAAAAAAAAATGAAAAACCCAATTAAAGGTATGTTTAGTATATATGATAATTCAAAAATAAAAATAAAAATTAAAAATATTACTAAATTATTAGTACGTAGTGTATTAGTTACTAAAAATTAAAAAAAAAAAAAGAGGAAAACAAAAAGTCCATTAAATGAGTCCTTAGTTTAAGAATTTGGAGGACTCAAAGTATCCAACCTTCGACTCTAAGAATACTTGTAACTCTCTTTATTTATTTTTTATTTTGTTAACATTATTTTAGTTAATTTGGTTAAATTTTGAAAAATGATATATAAATAATTTTTTTACATAATTTTACATGTTATCCAGCCTTCGACTCTATGAATACTTGTAACTCTCTTTATTTATTTTTTATTTTGTTAACATTATTTTAGTTAATTTGGTTAAATTTTGAAAA